TATATATATATATATATATATATCCCATTTATATATCATACTACTGTTGCTGAGGGTCCTGTGGTGTTATTTTCGTGGGTGCTCTTTTGTTGGGATTGTAGAAGGCATGGAATTAAAAGTTTGAATAAGTTTGTATACATGATTCAATTCTCTCTTTCACTGAAACCACATGAACTGAAATCAGTGGGGTATCCACTGCTTCATTCACTGTCGCCGTCTAAATTAAAGTTGTTGTTCGACGAGGATCTATATTCCATTCAAGTGTTGCTGAAAAAGAATAAATCAATGCATAAATAAGTTAATGGTTTTTATTTGCTGGAATATTCATTTTATAATCCAATGTTGATGATGCCATTACACTCGGGCTTGATTCTGTTATATATATGTATGGTTGTTAGTGTGTGTTAAACTTATTCAAACTTTTGTGTAAGTAAATTACTCGGTTCACAGCTTCACCAAAGACTGAAAGTTGAATTATTAGGAATACAATAAGTTAAAACGAATCTTGTATAAAGAAGAGAATTTAAGAAAAATTTGGAGGAGTGATGAGGAGGGTGATATTTGAAAAAGGTGTATTACCTCATATTCTATTTAGTTTCTTGTCCTAACATATTTGATTTGTGTCTTGAATGCAATAGATTAAATCTTTAGTATTTTTTTTTTCAATTGTGAGTGTTATTTAATTTAGTGGTTTTTTATGATGACATTGTTATAATGATGTTAAATGAAATCTTGACCTTTTTGTTTATAAATCAGGAACTAACATGGACTGGAATTAGACTGAAAGAGTTTCAGCCATCTTGCTTTGAGAAGGTTATTATCATCGCTATTTTTTTTTTTTTTTGCTTAGTTTTGATTATGATGATAATAGGTTTAAAATTAAAGAGTTCAGGAAAGTTTTGGTCATCCAAATTTGAGAAGGTTCTTGTCATTGTTTAGTTTCTTTGCTTGGTTTTGGTTAATAAAGTGATGACACACATTATCAAGTACATCATCAATGTTTTACATTCTATGATATGGGTATTGAGTTAGTATATGCTTCAGTAGTTTATATATGTGCTTTCTTTTTGTTATAATGGGCCTTGGTGGTTAATCAATGTTTTCACTAAACCTTGAAAAATTATTTTACTTGAATGAGTGAGTTAAGGGCTTTGAGTATGATTATCAAAACAAATTCTTTTCTTGAATGAACTATGCAATATGCTTCAAATTAAGAATGAACTTGCAGGTAAGTATCGTACTTAGGAATCTTTCTTGCCTGATCATGACTGTGTCTGTGAAACACCGTCTTAAAACCATCAACCTTAACAAGTGGTGTGACCAATACACCTTCCTCTTCATTGAAATCTTCAAGCACTTCCACCATATCATACTTATGTATAACTTCATCTGGAGTATTTTCATCCCAATCAGGAGCCCAGTTTCTATAGAGAGCCCAGACTTCTCCCTTCCCAGGAAAGATGTGAAGAACTCCTCTGGCGCCTTTTGTCCACCTTACCTTATGTGAAAAGGAATTTAATGATTCAGTTATTTCATGCTTGCCAGTCCTGAAATCCCCACAGGTTTTGTAAAAACCAGAACCTACCCAATCTGTTGGGCCTAATTCATTGTTGCTTCGAGAGTTAAGCCAACTGATCCGCATTCTAAATGGCTTTGTTGAAACCACCTTGTGAATTCTAGCATAATAGCGGGGCATTCCATCATCATCATCGTAAGCAGCCTAGACCTGGGAATAATATTAAAAAAATTATAAAAAATTACCTGCGATTTTTTCCTAGGAAATTTACTTGCGAATTTGAAATTTTGCAGAAAATTTACCTACAAAATTTTAATTTTGCAGAAAATTTACTTGGAAAATTTTGATTTTGCAAGAAATTTACTTGCAAATTTTAAATTTCGTGAAAAATTTCTTGCAAAAATTTTTTGGATTTTAAAATTTTTAGAATATTTTTTGCAAATTTTCTAAGAATTCTTTTTCCACAAGAAAGTTTGCTCCCATTTTTTTTTGCAAGAAAGTTTTCTATAGATTTTTTTTATAGCAAAAATCATAAGAATTTTTTTTGCAAATTTTGAAATTGGCAAGAAACAATTATCCACGAAGGTATTAGCTGCGAAAATAAATTTGTAGAAAAATTCGCAAAAAGCTTATTTCCTACAAATTTTAATGAAAAATTCCTAGGAAAATCCATAGGTAATAGAAAAAATTCTAGTAGTGATCACAACCATTGTACTGACATTTATAGTACCATTCATAAAACTCTTACACTTATTATATGTTAAATCATTTTTTGCAAACATTATACACCTTTCAAATCCCAACCACCACAACACAATACACAAAATTTTTAAGCTCTTATCACTTTGATCCCAAATTCAATATGCGGCTCAAATTCATACACCATTTCCCCTCTACATCAACCAACCGAATCTACTAATCATGGAGAATAAGAAGTTGGCGTTGCTACGAACATCCACATCCTGAACTAGAGAGTTGTTATAATATATCAGTGTGTGTGTGTGTAATATTCAATCAATCTAATTATTGTATTTAATGATATTACTAAATAGATCGAGTATACAAAATTGCATACAATAATATAACTGTTTGATAGCTCATCATATCACTTTATTTTAATGTATAAAATGATATTCAAATAAATCTAAATATCTATAATTAGATAACATATATAAAAGTGTCCAAATCATTTGAATTTTGATATGCATAGTCGTGAGTGTAATATCATCAAATATATTAATTAGTTAAATTCACATTCCATAATATTGAATTTGTCATTTCATTAATTTGACACATGGTATCAACGGATCATGTCCTACATGTGTGTTTGTAGACACACATATACATACATACATACATACATGCATACACATATGTGTATGTATATGTATATATATATATGTGTGTGTGTGTGTGTGTGTGTGTGTGTGCGTGTGTATGTATATACATATATGTGTGTATGTATGTACATACACACATGTGTGTGTATATGTATACATATGCATGATGTAACTTGAAGAACTGAATAACACAAACTTCATATAGTTTTATATTCTCTCCATTAAAATTTTATACAAGTAAGTTTCAAAATGTTAATATTATTGTCAAAATCACAACTATAAACCATTTTTTTTTAAATCTTGCCTCTAAAAGTAGCACCATCACCATATCAACATGTTGGAATTAAACAAAACAATCAATCATCAAGTAAAATCTTGAGAAAAGTAACTATATTTCAAATAGTTTTTTTTAATAAAACATTTGGGGAGAAAAAGGAATAGAAACCATTGCAAAAAGCTAGTATTAGAAATATGAGATGAGGTGGTTTGAGAAGAAATATTGTAAAATCCAAACATGATCTTGAATCCCTAAAGAAATTATAAGTTTTAATGATAACAAACAAAATCTTTCAAGAAAACCTTTTCGAATGAAACAAACATCACATTTTGTTTGTAAGGCAAAGTACACCAGACGAAGTACTCAATCTGAATTAATGCTACATTTATTTCTTGTTATGAATTCAAATTATCTTTTAGTGCATTAAATACTCTATTTCTTAATAGATCGAACAAGAAAATTTTCTCATTAATTGGTAATATTGGATAGTCAAATCCCTATGTTAGAAAGAAATAGAAAGATCCCAGAAATCATGGAAAAGCATACATGAGCTCTGAACACGCCATACTACTCTAATTCAACCACTATTTTTTTGTCTCACCTAAATGAAATGATAATAAGTAGCTGCCAAGATCATATAAGAAATGGACATTTTCAAGCAAAGAATTAAATGCTTATAGCAACAACTAATTTACTCCCTCTCGCTAGTCTCAAAGAGAATAACAGACAAAGCAACTCAAGAAGAAAATTGAAATGTTCATCTCAAAGTTGTTGTAATGATCATCTTCTTCGAAGCTACTGTAAAAGGATTAGTCTTCAAACTGTTGAGATTCGTGGAGTGGTAAATCAGCTCAAACTTGGAGAATGAAGGTTTTGATGATAACAAAGTATGGATTATGAGAATCAAAGCTGACCAAGGACATCAACAAGTCAAAAACAAAGTCAAGAAGAAAATATGGCTATTATGCTATGTAATAGGAGTAGCTCATAACTTGTATTGTTTTTGTTGAGCTTATTTTGCATGTGTGTGCTTTGTGCATGGGTTAATCTTTATGTAATCTAACTAAGAGTGAGTATGATAATGAGTTAGAAACTTGAAAAGTTATTTTGATACATAAAATAGAGTTTTTGAAAACTGACTCAAAATAATCGATTATTATTAAATATAATCGATTATTCCAGCAATAGGTGAAAATGATGCCTTGCTGTAATAATCGATTATTTGTGAAATAATCGATTATCCTAGGAATCACTCTTTGGAATAATCGATTATCCTGCAAAATAATCGATTAAGCTATTCTTGGTTGATTTCCAGAAATCATGAAGAACAAAATAATCAATTATCCTTTAAAATAATCGATTATCTGGTTTTGAAAATGTTATAAATAGTTTTCACATTTTGAAACTTCAGAACAAGATAGAACAGATAATCAAAAAAAGAAAAATGTTATTGTGAAGACTTTATGACCTTCTTGGAGTGTTTTCTTTGTGAAACCTGTTGAGCTTAGGAGAGCTTGAAGCCTAAAGAAGTTTTGGTTGTTATAATGGGCCTTGGTGGTTAATCGATGTTTTCACTAAACCTTGAAAAATTATTTTACTTGAATGAGTGAGTTAAGGGCTTTGAGTATGATTATCAAAACAAATTCTTTTCTTGAATGAACTATGCAATATGCTTCAAATTAAGAATGAACTTGCAGGTAAGTATCGTACTTAGGAATCTTTCTTGCCTGATCATGACTGTGTCTGTGAAACACCGTCTTAAAACCATCAACCTTAACAAGTGGTGTGACCAATACACCTTCCTCTTCATTGAAATCTTCAAGCACTTCCACCATATCATACTTATGTATAACTTCATCTGGAGTATTTTCATCCCAATCAGGAGCCCAGTTTCTATAGAGAGCCCAGACTTCTCCCTTCCCAGGAAAGATGTGAAGAACTCCTCTGGCGCCTTTTGTCCACCTTACCTTATGTGAAAAGGAATTTAATGATTCAGTTATTTCATGCTTGCCAGTCCTGAAATCCCCACAGGTTTTGTAAAAACCAGAACCTACCCAATCTGTTGGGCCTAATTCATTGTTGCTTCGAGAGTTAAGCCAACTGATCCGCATTCTAAATGGCTTTGTTGAAACCACCTTGTGAATTCTAGCATAATAGCGGGGCATTCCATCATCATCATCGTAAGTAGCCCAGACCTGGTCCTCTGCAAAGGAATTTTCAGTTCTATCCAAGTCAAAATTGTGAAAATCAAGATATGGAACGTTCATTGTTACATAGGCCGACTTCTCCTTTACAGTATCATACGTGAAAGTTATAAGAATTGTGAATTTGCAGGGCATCATAATATTAAAAAAAATTATAAAAAATTACCTGCGATTTTTCCTAGGAAATTTACTTGCGAATTTGAAATTTTGCAGAAAATTTACTTGGGAAATTTTAATTTTGCAAGAAATTTACTTGAAAATTTTAAATTTCGTGGAAAATTTCTTGCAAAAATTTTGTGGATTTTAAAATTTGTAGAATAATTTTTGCAAATTTTCTAAGAATTTTTTTTCCACAAGAAAGTTTGCTGCCATTTTTTTTTGCAAGAAAGTTTTCTATAGATTTTTTTATAGCAAAAATCATAAGAATTTTTTTTATGAATTTTAAAATTGGCAAGAAAGAATTATCTACGAAGGTATTAGCTGCGAAAATAAATTTGTAGAAAAATTCGTAGAAAACTTATTTCCTACAAATTTTAATGAAAAATTCCTAGGAAAATCCTTAGGTAATAGAAAAAATTCTAGTAGTGGACGCTTATCCGGTATTGAATTCGTCAAATTGAATTCACTCTGTTTTTTTTTTTCTTCCTTTTTTTGGTGTTGTTTGGTTCTGACGGTTGGCTTTGTATTTAAGGAAGCATATGAGGAATTCAAGCATGTTCTTCTCGCATTTATTTATGACAAGGATGATAAGACTTCTCCCATGGCGAATGAGGTTGGGGGCTTCAGAATCAAAGCCATATCAATGGAAAGCAAACATAAGTTTTGACTGCGTTATTTATTTATTTATTTTGATTCTCTAGGATATCTTCTAACCGAAAAGTTTATTCAAATATTTAGTTAATATATCTGTATGCTTAAAATTTGAAATAAAAATCATTGGTTAAAATTTGAATTAAAGATCATTGGTTAAACTGAAAAAAAAAAAAAAAGAATCTGATTAAAGAATTTGCTATTTATCAAACATGTTGAATTTTGTTGGTGTTTTGTTCTAAAATTAAAGTAGAGTAATGTCTCATTCATTAATAAATAAATTTTAATCATTGGATTACAGCTAGTTTTATATATATATATCTCCCATTTATATATCATACTACTGTTGGTGAGGATCCTGGGATGTTATTTTCGTGGGTGCTCTTTTGTTGGGATTGTAGAGGGCATAGAATTAAAAGTTTGAATAAGTTTGTATACATGATTCAATTCCCTCTTTCACTGAAACCACATGAACTGAAATCAGTGGGGTATTCACTGCTCCATTCACTGTCACCGTCTAAATTAAAGTTGTTGTTCGAGGAGGATCGTATATCCCATTCAAGTGTTGCTGAAAAAGAATAAATCAATGCATAAATAAGTTAATGGTTTTTATTTGCTGGAATATTCATTTTATAATCCAATGCTGATGATGCCATTACATTCGGGCTTGATTCTGTTATATATATATATATATATATGGTTGTTAGTGTGTGTTAAACTTATTCAAACTTTTGTGTAACTAAATTACACCGTTCACAGCTTCTCGAAAGGCTGAAAGTTGAATTATTAGGAATACAATGAGTTAAAACGAACCCTGTATAAAGAAGAGAATTTAAGAAAAAATTGGAGGAGTGATGAGGAGGGTGATATTTGAAAAAGGTGTATTACATCATATTCTATTTAGTTTCTTGTCCTAACATATTTGATTTGTGTCTTGAATGCAATAGATTAAATCTTTAGTATTTATTTTTTTTCCAACTGTGAGTGTTATTTAATTTAGTGGTTTTTTATGATGACATTGTTATAATGACGTTAAATGAGATCTTGACCTTTTATGTTTATAAATCAGGAATTAACATGGACTGGAATTAGACTGAAAGAGTTTCAGCCATCTTGCTTTGAGAAGGTTATTGTCACTGCTCAATTTTTTTTTGCTTAGTTTTGATTATGATGATAATAGGTTTAAACTTAAAGAGTTCAGGAAAGTTTTGGTCATCCAAATTTGAGAAGGTTCTTGTCATTGTTTAGTTTCTTTGCTTGGTTTTGGTTAATAAAGTGATGACACACATTATCAAGTACATCATCAATGTTTTACATTCTATGATATGGGTATTGAGTTAGTATATGCTTCAGTAGTTTATATATGTGCTTTCTTTTTGTTATAATGGGCCTTGGTGGTTAATCAATGTTTTCACTAAACCTTGAAAAATTATTTATGTACTTGAATGAGTGAGTTAAGGGCTTTGAGTATGATTATCAAAACAAATTCTTTTCTTGAATGAACTATGCAATATGCTTCAAATTAAGAATGAACTTGCAGGTAAGTATCGTACTTAGGAATCTTTCTTGCCTGATCATGACTGTGTCTGTGAAACACCGTCTTAAAACCATCAACCTTAGCAAGTGGTGTGACCAATACACCTTCCTCTTCATTGAAATCTTCAAGCACTTCCACCATATCATACTTATGTATAACTTCATCTGGAGTATTTTCATCCCAATCAGGAGCCCAGTTTCTATAGAGAGCCCAGACTTCTCCCTTCCCAGGAAAGATGTGAAGAACTCCTCTGGCGCCTTTTGTCCACCTTACCTTGAATAAAATTCGGATTATGATCAGCTCCAAGAAGCTTTTATACAAATCCATGAAGAAGCTGTCAAATTAGGAGCCTTAAATTCAAAGATGAAAAACAAGCTGAAATGGTATGAAAATGCCTTAATCAAAGTTGAACAAGAGCTTAAGGATTTAAAGCATGAGCATGAAAATCTTCAAACTATGT